TGGTGGTGGTGGTATTGCAAGCCTCTGACTTTACTCTCTATCCAGGGCTTCAGTCCCATCCACATCCTTGACAGTGTTTCATTCAGGCTGATTAAATACATTCAAAGTCAACTGCCTTAGGGTCATTTATTTGTTACTATAACATATTTTTACATCATTAAAAAACAATCCAGGTGCACACAAAGCAGACTAGCCATGGGTTATATACTTTCAACATCCCCACAACCGTTGCATTGATGTTGTCAGACCATCAAGCCATTCGCTGGGCATTCACACTTCCTTGTTGTCTTTAAGAATCACCGAAGCTGAGGGTTGAATGCACCCAACACCCTGTATCCCTTCTCTTCTCCTGCTGTGTGTATTCTGGCTAAAGGCGTCCTGTGGGCCAGGGTTTTGTGAGGGATTAAGGCCACTCCCAGGTTTTGACTCTACGGAAATACGATCTGCTTTGTACTCTGGAGTAATCTGGCCTGGGGGGTGGGGTTCATCCCAGAGCTGCAGTTATTTTAGAGATATATGAGTCCTTGAGAGAGGGTCATGATTTTCTGTTTATTTCCTTGTTTATATTCTCTGGGCTTATTGAAAGCTCTAGATTAGGTTTTTGTAAGGACAGGATGTGAGGGTAAGTTAAGAGGCTTTCTATGCTCAGACAGGCACAAATTTATATTTTAATAGCCAAATGAAGATATTTCTTAATTGCTTCCAGTTTTGATACTCTGTTTAAAAGGTTTCCTCTCGAGACCATAGAAATACTCATTTAAAAACAGCTTTCCTAAACCATATAGTTTTACCTTCCATATTTAAATCTCTAGCAACCAAATACGTGTTGCTGACAGAAGAGTGGTTACCGAGTTCTCTTCGTGGGTGAGCAGAAAGGACGGAGACCAGAGTGTGATTTAGTTTCCCCCTAAATCCTCGGCTTTGTTTTGTACCTTGTGTTTTCTGTGAGGTTGACCTACTTTTTTTCTGAATCTGCCCCAGGCTTTTAGTCTTAAAGCCTTTAACATGTTTCCTACCCAGTGGTGGCTTGAATGCCGCGCCCCCCCACCCCCCACCCCCAGCCTTCAGTTTTCCTATTGGGAATTCACCCTTGAGAGGCCATGCAGTACAATCATTAAGAGTTGCTCTCTGGAACCAGACAGCATGTTTTAATCCAGAGCAGCACTTTAAAAATAGGCACCGAAAGTTTTGGATCACCGCTACGCTCTAAATTATTCATTATCTGCTCTCAGGGATCTGAGAAAACATTTTCTCTTTCTGCAGGGTAAGGTATAATTAACTATTTTAAACTGTTTGTTTTAAACACAAGTGCCTGGTGACTGCCTGTTGTCTCCACCACTGTGGGGACTTCAGGACACACGACATGCTCTGGGAAGGAGAAAACATGCAGGGCAATGGGGGGCAGGTCTGTTGGTCTGGAGACACATCTCACTCCTGCTTCTCTTTGGACTTCAGCTGCGTACAGCAAATTGCGCTGGGGACATGGATGTGTCACAGTGGGGACAGTCCTAAAACTGGGTGCCTAGGAGGTGGAGAGACGGCTCAGTGGTTAAGAGCATTTGCTGCTTCCTCAGAGGACCTGGGTTCAATTCTCAGCACCCACGTAAGGACCTTACAATTGCTTGTAACTCCAGTTCTAAGGGATCTGATGTGTTTTTTGGCCTTGGTGGGCTCCTGAATGCACATAAACTCACGCAAGCATACACGCATGCACGCACGCACGCAGGCACATTAAATTAAATTGGGTATTGGTGTAAAGTTAACTGCACTGGATGAATTATTCTGATCAGTGAACAAAATCAAGGCCAAGAGGCTGTTCCAGGACCTAATTTGTTTGAAGGGGACATGCGCATTTATGTGAATAGTCACACTCTTCCCTGACCTTTCATCCCAGATGTACACCTGCACAGAAGTGTAACTGTGGGTGTGCAAGAGACAGGTCAGGGGAGAAACAGGAGCTGGTGGGGTGTGTCAGGGCTTGCTGAGAGACCACAGGAACAGCTCAGGGTTCAATGCTGCTCGATTGGTGCACTCTTTATGACACACTAGGAACTCCTAGGCTTATGGAAGTGGCATGCACAGATAGCTTAGTTGGTGTAGGTAAAACCCACATAGACCAAGCTATTTGGGTAATTTCGGGTTTATCGTGACATGAAGGCACTTTCCTGCCAAATGCCTACTTTGGTAAAATGGCCCCAGTCCACCATCTATTTTCCTCCCAAACGCACTTCATGCTGTGGAGTGGTGAGGGACTGCTGTTGTGTACTCACTGTGCATTTGGAAAACCTCTTCAGTTACAGACAATACTGTATGACCAGCACAGACACCCTCAAGGCCAGAAGCAGAAGCACCTTGTATTATAACGCTTTCTCTATCCATGACAGCACTCAGCAGCCATTCTCTTATTTGATAAGTGTGTGTACATTAGGAATCCAAAGCTTACAAAGCCCAAGGATGTTTAATGACGAGAAAGCCTCTACTTGCACACTCAAGCCAGGCTGCTTGATCATTGTGTTAGTGAAATCTCTAGAATACCAGCAGAGTGTAAAGCACTGTATGGAGCCTGTTACCTATTCCTCCCTACACACCTTGAGTGTGTGAACATCTCTGCACCCTCCTTGCTCCCCTAATCTGTGCTTTAGTCTGTCTTATTGTTAACTCTCTAGGACTTAGGAAATTGTAAGAAAAATATTCACTATTCATTTGAAATATTTTCTACTTATACATTTAAAATAGTTCATAAAAACGTAGTCAGTTTCTGATTACTGTTAATTCTCAAGCAGGATTTGTACGGAATGATTTTAAAACAGTAAAGTACCATGCAAATCGAAAGTTATTACTATTTTCTGTACCAACAAACATTTGCAATATACACAGATGCAAAACTTCTAAATCAAGCTCTCCCAAATAGAAGACAGCAGTACATTAAGGCAATTTCCGTGCCCAAGTGGAATTTATTCAGAATATGAGAATGATCTAATGTCAGAAAATACTGTGGTGATTTTAGGACATTAACAAGTATAAGGAATAAAGCATATGACTATCTTGTAGAACTTGTTATATGCCTGTATTTGGTCTGCTTTTCTTTACGGTATTCCTAATTTAGCCAGGCACAGGCTGGCAGTAAAAAAAGTTAATCCCCAGACTCTCTTGCAGCTAGGTGTTGCCACATGCTCACTATTTTGAGATGTGTGTGGAAATGATGCTTTCCACTGCAGAGTCTTACTCTGCTGTGGAAAAGAATAATGCCAGTTGTGACCATGTATACAGAAGTCAACATAGTTCTACAATTAAAATTAGAAGACTAATTAGTAAAACACAAGACTCAAGTCAACATGCAAAATGAAGAGTCTCCCACCTACCTCAATCTATGAGAAACTAAGGGGAAAATGGTACATGTGTTGCATGGTGGACAACATGAAACTATTTAGAATAAACTTCATAAACATT